TGAAATACATCACCATTATGGCACATGCATTTGGTGTTATATATGAGGTAGCCAAATTAGAGGTGGCCTGCACCAAATGGAAGAAAAAGGTGTAGTGGCAAATGAAACTTGTGGTGAAAGTTATGTAGATAGAACCTCGCCAACCCTTCCATGGCCCCTCCTAGCTCTTTCTCCTTTATCGTAAACCCCACAACTATTAACTAGCACTCTAAAACTTTTATCATCACTCAAATCCTTTATAATAATCTTTTTTTTTGGTGCTATTTTCCCAACAAGAATCAAATAGACAAAAACGAAAATGTAAAAAAACACTTACCCATAAAAACTTTTGCAAGCAAATAGCACAACTGTAGAATAAAACTTAGACAACACACCATTTGTTTTGTTCAAAAATCACAAAGTGAGTCTAAAATTTTTCTATCTCCCCTATTTATACTCAGTGAAGCACTACGTTGAAATGGTATGAATTAAAACAACATTTTAATTGGTTATAAAATAGTTCATATTAATTCTCTAAATCAGACCAACCCTTCAGTTACACAACTTTTCAAAAGATACATTTACTTTTTTTAATAACTGGTATAATTTAAAATTCAAATTCATTAATTGTGTTTAACAACTCTTCAATCTTATTACACCATGTGTCCTACATAGTCATCAGCGTATTTGAACACGTGTAACACTCAGGCGAATTGTGTGCTGCATAATGTTTAGGGCAAAAAAATTTCCTAAGTCCCCACCTAATATTTCCTGTAACTTAACAAAACACATGGCTAGTCAAGAAAGTGTCCCTTACCTAAAAAGAACATGTCATTAGCATGGCTCGCCAAGATAGCATTCTTTGCCCAAAAAGGACATGTCATCAACCTGACTCACTAAGAAAACATCCTTGAACCAAAAAGGACACATCATTCATAAGCTCATTGAAAGAAAATCCCTCGCCTAAAAGGGATACATCATCAGCATGCTCACCAAGAGAACATCCCTCACTTAAAAGTGACACATCATTAGCATGGCTCGCTAAGAGAACATCCCTTGTCTAAAAGGGACACATCATTAGAATGGCTCACTGAGAGAGTGTCCTTCACCTAATACATACACATTATCACCATGAATCACTACAATAGTGTCTAGTGTCCAATAGAAATGCATCGTCAACATGTTGTTAACAACTCTTGCCAAAAGTTTGAGGGCAGTCACTTTATAATCCTCAAACTTGGGGGTAATTGTTGTACCTATGTGCTAAGTCAATAGGGTCAATCCCCATGATCATCAAGTTAGTACAATTTTAACTATCATGTTACCATAAGAGAGGGTTGGCATCTATACTATTCACCATAAAGCGAGCTCACCCTCACCAAAGAGGGACTCGTCCAACTACCTCCACTAATGTCTCATCAAGCTTCATAATAGATTGATTGACCTTTAACTTGCTTGAAATCATTAGATGTAGCCCAAGCTGGCCTAAGATTATAATGCAACCCAACTTCACCTACGAGACCCTTCCTTGAGCTCTACATAGATTTACCATCAACAGCAAGAATTCGTGTATCAAGTGAGTAACCTGAATTATGTGAGGCATGCATTTATATATGATATAATACCTTCAATTCCAATTAAATATACAAAAATTTATCAAAAAAGAGAATAATGGAGGATCCATCAATGTTTACTATTAAATTCGATGCATCAAAATTAAACCTTACCTCTTTAGTTGTTGACTACAGTATTCTGAAGGGGTAAAAGATAAAAAATGCCTTTAAATTATAATTCAATAATCATCTAAATCACTAAAATTTACTTGCAATCAATTATGTCTTTAATTTTTTTATTCCAACTCAATTAAATTCTTAAATGGATGAAATCTAGTCACATGACAAACTTTAATTAATCAACTCCCGACCTATAGTCAATCAAACCTTTATAGTGATTTTAGAAAGAGTATGGGAGAGAGATAATAGAGAATAAAAAGAAAAATAAAAAATTAGGAAAATTTTTTTTAATAATTTTCACATATATTAATTATGTCACCTATCAAATGTTAATCTATTTTATTGATGTTAAATGAAAAATTATCTTTATTGATAAAAAAATTAACAATGTTAAAATTTTCATCCAAATAAAATTTAATTTGATGCAAATAAATATTAGAGAAATTGATTGACTATAATAAAAAATAAAAATTTAAATGATTTTTTAATTATAATTTAAGGGTTTTTTTTTTTTTTTTTTATCATTTAACCTATTTAAAACTTATGGGTTTTTTCTTTAAAAAAAAAAAAAGTGACCGTCTCATGGATGTAGGGATAATTGATCAATTACTTGGCATGAGCTTTATACGTAGAGATGATGTTCTAACTTATTGTTCGTGTGACACAGATGGAGATAGTAAAAAGCCTCAAACTCGACAAGGGTTCCATTTTTGTCTTATCAAATGGACACAATTTGTTGTTTGAAAATTGGAGATCAAATGGAACAAGTGTTAAAAATGATAATTCGGTGTCACATCAAGCACTAATTGAGATATAGTATAGTTAGGTCGGGTTAAAGGCAAGAAAAAAAGTCAATCGCAATGTTTTACTTATTGTCATCCCCAAACGTGAACGTCGCACAGCTATAATTTATCATAAAATAAAGTTAGTTGCAAATAGATTCGATGGCGATAGATATGGAGGAAATTTAATTAATTTTAAAGAGTCGCTTTAAATTTTTTTTTGAAAAGTATTGAATTTTTTACCTATTGTAGGAAATTGGATGAATTTCTTTTGACATTTTTATTTTTTTAATTTTAAATATAAGTTTACGTTCTAAATTTTTGGTTTTTTCATGTGTCAATTTAACTTTTTATTATATTTATTTAAATGATTGCTGGTAAAAAAATAGTTACTTAAATGAATCATTTTCTAAAACTTTTACATCGGTTTGATATTAATTAAACATTTTTTTAATTTGAGATCATTATAATAATAGATTGTATTTACTAACTTTCTTAGTAGGATTTAAAGGTTTTTTTTTTTTTTTAAATGTAATTAGACATTCATTATAAGAAAAGAAAGCCAAATAGCAATAAAAATTTTTGTTGCTAATACCATGAATTTTGTCGATAATGGGAATTTGCAATGGAAATTCCATCGCTAATAATCCTTTGAAGGCAGACTGGTAAAAGCATTTCGTTGCTAGTAAGTTTCTTGTTGAAAATATTGTTTTGTTGCTAATTCATATATTTGTTGCTAAAAATAATTTTCATAAGGAATTAAAACCTAAATTATGTCGCTAATAATTTTTAGTGACGAAAAATTAAATTTTGTAATTTTTTCATAATTCTATTATGTTGCTAGTTGCTATTATTGACAAAAATTTTGTAGCTTCTAAGATTTTGAATCAATTCGCCTACGTTTTGTGATAGAGTTTTGTTATTAAAAGCTCAATAAATTAGGTTTTCATCATTTTAGCTATGGAATTCCATCACTAAAATTAAAATTTCATCGCAAATTGTCAAGAATTTGTGATATTATGACGATCGATCCCCTTCGATTGAGGATTGAATCCTATTCATAAAAGATCGATCCTTCCCTTAAAAGGATCGAGATCTTTTTCACTTTTAATCCAAATTTTCATTTACCATCACATAAAAGTCATTCATATAAATTGTAATACAAATATATAGTACCATAATTCAATATTCAATTCATTTTCCATATAATAACTCAACAAATATGTTTAAACATCCATAAACGATTATAAACATTCATAAAAGTCTATAAAGAAAAAGAAAGAAAGAAAGAAAGAAAGAGATCATTATCTCATTGAGTACTTTCTCATGGTTCTTATTGTTCACTGCCACCTTGTGTCATAACGTATAAGTTTGAAAACCTATTGCTAGACATAATTTTAGGAGTTGCTACTAATATGTTTTATTTAGGTAAAATTGGCTATCTAATGAATTTGTCCTTATAAGGATATCCTAAACTTAACTAAGGGTTCCTAAAAATTAGGTTTTGGTCTTTGTTTCGAAACTAGATTCGAGAATATAATTATGTGTGAGAAATGTTATAATACTCCTATAACAACCATCTTATGACAAGATCAATTAATTCTAAATTATCCTAAAGTCTTGGCTGGATGGTCTTTTTATTTATGGTTTTTACTTTATTTAAACATTTACATATTGGAAAGAATTTTAGATTTTTGTAACCATTTTGTGAAATTTGTTAAAATATTTTCTCATCTTAAGAGTATTCAAAGAATCGATTCATTCTCTTGAAGATGTTTTATCGTATTATTTATTTTTTAATCATTTATTTAATTTTCTTTTATTCTAAGTTTTATTTAAATTTCTTTATTTTATTATATATATATATTGACTTTCCACCATTATGAAAATATTTAAAATATCCTTAGAAATTTCTAAGAAAATAAATTATTCTTCATTTCAAGGAATTTCACCATGAATTTACATTATTTTTTTTCAAAATATACAATTTCTTATTTTTATTTTTTTTGTGCTTGAAAATTATTATTATTATTATTATCATCATCATTATCATCATTATTAAAATTCCTTCTAATTTTTGCCTCAATTATGGCAAATTTTAGAAATAAGTTTTTCACTTAAAAATTTCTAGAAAATCAACTGTTCTTGATTTCTTAGACTTTCTTATGAAACTTGTTTATTATACAAAGTAAATTACAATTTCAAACATTATTATTTTTTGATCATATGTTTCTTTATCAAATAATTAAACATTTTTCTAATGTAAAACAATAAGCAAGTAAGAAAATTTAAATAAGAAAAAGAAAGTTACCAATTGTTTAGGTTGAAAACCAACTCAGAATGGGTCCGTGCTTGAAAATAAGCCTGGTCTTTACTTTTCGAATGGGCTTAAACAGACGAGGATTCAGTCCAGGTTTGGAGCGTCCATTTGGGTAGGTACGTGGGCTGAAATCGGGTCAAATGACCCAATTGATTTTATTTCAGAAAATGACGTAGTTTTGGCTTTAGTATACAAGTCCCCTTTTGTTTCCTTGTTTCATTTTCATGCTTTGCTTTCTCTCTCTAAGGTCGGTTCTCTCTGGCCTCTCTTTAAACTCCAGATGCATGTAGCCGCCTATTTCAAGCAACCCAAAAATTGGTGGTCCCCCCCATGTTGGCCACCTTGTTCTGTCGTCGGCTACCGCACTCCGTCACTAGCCAGAATCCGATCAAATCCAAAATTTCACTATCGCTTCCTCTTGACCTCCTCGTCTTAGATCTGGGATTAGATTTTCAAAAATCATCCTCCAATGGCCTAGATTCGAAGCTGAATACACGTTTCACTTTTCGCTATCTAATCTGGCTGAGATTTTAGTATGTTAGTCTTCTCTCCATGCTCTTTCTCCTCGTGGGTCCCAATTTTTTAAGGTTATAGTGATCACCATCGATCACCACAGCTGCTGCCACCGGCAGTATTAATAATATATTTTTGGTTATTTTGTATTTCGGCCTTTGTGTTGCCCTTTGTTGTTCTTGATTACTATCCCTGATTCCTTTTCTATCTATAATTTGTTTCTTGCCATGTATCGTGTTTAGGTGTTGGGGATGGTTCTGCTTGATGCCTTCTGTAGTTGCTAAAAATGTCAATTTATGGGTCTTGGATGGGTATTGGGTTATGACTGGGCTCTATCTCTAATGAAATTGTTGTTTCTCATTTTTTTGCGAATGATGGTTAAAGTGCTTAATCAGGGTAAAATGAGCACAAGGTGGTGTCGGCTTTGAAGGGAAATGTGGCAAGGAGATTCTATTACTGTTAGAGATAAAAGAGTTATGGTGGATGTTAGCAAGCTGGTGTGAGGGCAATAGTGATGATGTTGCTGACGGAATGTGTTTAAGGTAGACTAGGTGATGGTTGAAGCTGAATTGATGATGATAACTGTTGGGCCATTGAATATTTGATGTGTGAATAGAAATTGAAGCTCTTATTCTTTTGGTTCTTTTTTTGTTTTGATTTTGCCTTGTTCTTTTGTGTGGCATTCTGGCAGTGGACAACTGATGCTGGTGGCTAAAAGGAGCAAGATCGGGCTATTGAGGGTTGTGGCAGAATGAACTTGCGTGGAAGTTGGCAGTGGCCTAAAGGTTGTTTTTTAATGTTTTACTGGTTGTTTATCGAGTATCACTCGATTGCTTTCTGTAATTGTTTTTCATTGTCCTTGTTTTGTTCTGCCGATTCTTGCTTGCTTAAATAGCCAATTAGTCCTAATAGAAATAGAACTCTAGATCAAGGCAAAATCTCAATTTGAAATGGGATTTCTTATCATTTGGAACATTAAAAATCCAATCCTATTATCTTTAACGGACTCCATCTTCAAAAGCAAATCCCCTTCCTTTAATTTTTGAAGGGTTATCGCTTTCTACTAATAATAAAATCAAGTAAAAATAAAAGATAATTGGGCTCTTGGTTTAGAAAGCTTAAAACCTAAACAAACCTATATTTAAATGGGTCACTCTAAAATCTAATTAAAAGTTATTAAATCAAAAATTAGAAAGTAAGCATTGGGATCCGATATTGATCCCGGATAAAATAAGATGTCTATAGTTGTCTTTCTTTATATATGTTTTGTGAAATAGAATTGTGCAAAGATGTAAAAACTCATTTTATCCAAGTCTGGCTTATTTCAAAGATTTATTTTTTAAAAAGATTTTATTTAAATGTTACCTTAGAAAGAAGTAATAAGTTTAAAAATTTAAAAAGGATTTCCCAAAGGTTTTAAAGATCATGTCCAAAGGTCCTATAAATCAATCTTATCATTGAAAAATGCTCATTTAAATAAAGTTTAACAACTTTAAAATTTGAAAATGATACTTAGAAGTTTTAAAGATCATGTTTAGAGGTCTTATAGATCATACTTAGAGAACTTTAAGATTACGTTTGAGGGTCTTACAAATCATTTTTATCTTGTGCCTGAAGGTCTTGATGATTATACTCATGGTTTTACAAATCATTTATATTATAAAAAAAGTTCTTTTAAACAAAGATTTTACAACTTTTAAAATTAAAAAAAAGGGTACTCAAAGGTTTTAAAGCTCATGTTTGGAGGATTTTGTAATTATACCTTGATGTTTTTGAAAAGAGTATTAGACAGTTTTGAAGCTGTACTCAGAGGTTTGAAAGGAATATGAGAAAGTTTTAAAGATAACTCCCAATGGTTTTGAAGAAGATTACTAGAAGGTTTTAAGAAAAATTACCCAAAGGTTTTAGAAAATGGTATTGGAGGGTTTCAAAATTGATACTTGAAAGTTTTAACAAAAATACCTTGAGGAAAATCTCCTTTGATCTCCCTATCAGAGGTTTCATATCTTAAAAAAAAAAAAAATCGTATCATTAAAATTTTTTTTTTCCAACTAAAGTTTTAAGCCTAAGCTTATATATTTCTTATTTGTTGAATACATGGAATGCATGCAATAAATATAATGCATGAAATGCATGCAACGAATGTAATGTATGAAATCAATATCATATGTCCTTAATTGTAGTAATACGATTCTCGAAACCATCTTTCCTTTTTAAATTACACCATATAACTTCAGAATGAGCTGGCAAGTTCATTTGTGAATTGAAGCAAATATTTTCACCTTTTTTTGGCTCAAACATCTTTATTCTTGAAAATCATTCTTCTTATCTATAAGTCTTTTCCACTAGTGGTCCCTTACATTCGATATTCTCATTGTACCAAAAATATCTCTTTTATTATAGCATTCACCTATTTTTCCACAATGAGCATTGAGATTGAAAATACTTGAATATTATCAAAATTTTCAAAAATAGCTAAAATTGCACTACACAACTACCTTCCTAAAAATGAATCAATCTTTCACATGTGATCAAATCTTTTAAAAAATGGTGATCATTATCAAGAATGAATGTGATGAATCACAACTTGGTATTTCCAGAAGGATGCAATGATTTGGTGCATTATGATCCTAGTTATCAAAAGGGATTTGGTCATTGAATAAGAAAGGGAATATCAATGTCTCTTCATTTAGGGTCACAGATGCAAATCCTTTTTTAGAGTACAATCTATTTTAGCACTCTTTTAAATTCTTAATATGTGGTATTTTAATAAAGATCAAGACTAGCTATAACAGGCTTAAAATTTTAGGTATGAAAAAAAAACAAGGCTCAAATTTTAGAAAGAATCTACATAGTGAGGTTGATCTTCTTAGGCTTTTAAAAGCTCTTCAACATCCCTTAGATTATTCAAAATGTCCTCCTCTTAGTGCTTCTTGCTTCATCTTTGATACATAAAAAAGAAATGAGTTGTTTTCAAAGCTTTAATCTTGCTTTAGATTGCCTTTTTGAGTTTTTACCCAAAAGCTTCATTCTTTTCTTTTAATTTTCCTTTTTCCATTGACTGCTACACCATGCATTTGAGAGCTCAAAATTCATTCAAAATCATATCATAATGATTTCTTAAGGTACAAACTCTCTAACTTAGGTATCCACAAATGATTAAAATAGATTTTTCAAAGGATGTAATGTAGGTCAAGGTTTAGAGTTAAAAAAGAAAGGATAACATGTTTAGAAAATGTGTTTAAAGGTGATCAAAGCAAGGATTTTTTCTTTTTTGAAGGATATATTTCCTTTTCTCAAAACATGCATTTTCACTTTTTACTTTTCAATTCTTTTTCTTTTTTCTTTGTTTTCTTTATTTCTTTATTTTCTTTTTACTTGCTTGTTTCTATCTTTGAAAAGATGAGTTCAAAATTTTTGAAACTCAACATACTTCAAACTTGCCCTTTAACATAAGCCATCATTTCCTAGCTTTTAATATAAGATCTAAGTCATCTTGATGAGATCTTTTTTCTTAACTTGCCCACAAATTTGGCGGGTGATCTTTGATTAGGATTCATAAAAAAAAAAAATCAATAGGCTCAAAAAGATTAACAAATTGATATTTTCTATTTTGTAAACTGAATTTGAAAGATGGCTAATTTTCATTTCAAGTATGGATATTTCCATTGAAAAGTCATTCTCAGGACACGACTTTCTTTTCTCATTGATTTTAGATTTATTTGATTGTTTCTCATGCATGATGTTACAATCATTTCTTTTTTTCATCTTTTTTTCTTTTTTTTTTCTCTATTTTTTTCACTATTCATGTTGAAAATGCATTATCTTAACTTTCTACTCAAGTGAAGTCTAATTTCAACATTTTCATTTTAATAGTCCACTTCACATGTCATCAATCAGGTCAGTCGAAAAGAACATTTAGGACATTAAGTAATTTGGCTTTTTTAGTAAATTTATCCTAAGATGAGGGTGAAGGACCACTTGAAAAATGACTGGAAAGGGAGAAGATGTTGGTATTTGTCCTTTAAGCCAAATCAATTTTGGTTAAAATATTATCATATTTGTTATACTTTGATAATTGATATCTAATAATGGTTTGATTATTTTATTATTAAGCTTGTATACATATATTTTTGTTATTGATGCTTACATGATAATGTCCTTAGAATATAAATAAAGCTTTGCAAGAGAATTACAATGAGATTATAATTATGAGATCACCATTGGATAAAAGCTATATATTTTTAAATAGTTCCTAATCGATGCTTTATCAATAAGCAGACATTAACAAAAGCTGTCGAGACTAGCACATGGTTATGCTCTTGTTTATTAAGCAAATAACCATTCTCATATGTAGAAGTTTGGGTAAACTTGAGCTTATATGTGGATGCTTGTTACAAGAACAAGTTCACTTAACATGACTCGAGATGAGAATGCTATATGGTAGCTAACATAGTGTCTATAGCTACATTCTCATGTGATGGTTATATAAGTGATCCTTTGACATGAGATTACTTATGGTCTTATATAATGAGTGTTATACTTTGACTTTACTTATGGTTTTAACCAAGATTGCTCTAGTTGAGTATAGTTAGGTATAACATGAGACTTATGAAGATGCATGAATTAATCAAGATGAGATTCATCGCTTTGAGTGATCAAAAGTGTATCTTAATTAGTCTTAATTGAATTAACTCTAAAAATCTTTGGCCAAAGTGAAATAAGAGTTTAGAATTATTTTAAAGCTTGTTTGTGACTTAATGTCAAGGACAAAACTTAACATGTTGAACAAGATTGAATAGAAATTAAACCATACTCAATTTTCAAGTCGAGATGCTTAGTGGTGAAAGGATATTAATTATACATTAAGATCATACACGGATAGGTTGTCAACCCATATTGACTTTCTTTAGCCATTGGAGGTCATGACAATGTAGCTAGCATTGATCATGATCCATAAACATAAGATTGGCTAATTGAAAAATTAGTAATAAAGTCAAAAGTTTTAATTCATCTAAACCACATATAAAGGATTAAAATGCTTATGCTTATTGCCAACATGTTAAAGAACCTAATGGGTCATAAAATTGGATAATTGTGAAACATTAAAATTGGGATAAATTAAGTTGGACGTAATTTGGTTTAAGTTAGGCCTAAAGATAGAAAAAATAAACAAGAGACATAATGTTTACTTGTTATAGATATTTGGCTAGCATACAGGCTAATTAAGAGTTATGCCACTTATGCATAACCCTAAACTAGCTGAACACTTTTATATAAAAAGAACATTAGCCACCCTTCTTGTAACATGCTAAGAAAGCTAAGAGCAATTCTAAGATAGAGCACTATCATCTCATGTGTTGAAAACAAACTTGAGACAAAAGAAGAAAGGGATTCGAAATACTCACTAGCTAGAGTATATGTTTTGTTCTTATCATCATTAGAGAAGGTTCTTTCAGAAGTGTTCATGTAGATTACCATTAGAGGTTGCACGTTTGGATAGCTTTTTGGCTTGCAAAAGAATTTGGGTGATTGCTTGTTTGGAGCAAAGCAAAGTTAGCGTTAGAGGTAACCAACCTTGCTCGAAACCCATGTATTATTGTTTGTACGATCTTGTTGATTGATCTTGGTTTTAAGAAATTAAAAAAAATTTAAATTCTATTGTTGTTACTCTATATGTTGATACATAATTCTTTTTAGAAGAATGTTGCACAAGTCAAGATACTAAACAAATTGAAAAAATATGAATTTGTGAGAATTTGAGATTTATGAAATAATTTAGGTAGTGAAGTGTTTGAAATTACCTTGACATGTATTAAATTACCAAAATCCAAAAAGTTTAAGAGAGTGCCTTATGTATTAAAATATTT